GATCTCTATCACGGCATCAATCAAATTTTGACAGCGGTTAACAAAATTGATAATCCAAATGAGAATCAAAAAAGGTTTGATTCATATTTTTTTCTATTTAACTTCTCGTGCATGTATATTAAATTAATGAAAATATTTTTGTTATTCTTCAATTTCAGATATAATGAAATAACTGATTTTTTGATTAGTGGATCTGTACTTTTTGGACTTACAGCTGGTACATGTAAAAAATTTAATTTCGAAAAACCTTAAATCTTTCCTATCATATGCTTCATTGAGTTATTGGATAAATTTGAATTATCATATGCTCGTACAACTAAAGTCCCGATTCAAGAATATGTTACATTTGTGTTTTTTTTCAATTATTTGTTATTTTTTTTAAAAGAACATTATTTGTTAATTAACAAAGCTTCTCATGCAAAATATGTGACATTAAAATATGACATTATTTGTATTTATAGTTTGTTTAATTTTCATTTATGTAGCTATATTTTGTTTTTTATAGTTTAATTTAAGGGAATATACATCCTTTGATTATATAAAATTATATAGGAAAGTAATAATATAAAATTTTTAATGAGCTATATCAATCTATTTAATGTTACTAATTACGTGTGTCAAATTCAATCGAATACATTACAAAAACTAAGAAAGTAGGCTAGTGAAAAAAAAGTTACAGCAGTGTAAAGTAATATAGTAAGTTAGTAAGCACGATAAAAGATTTGAGAGGACAAACTGAATTTTATACTTCTTGCTACTATTTGATTGTATAACACGTTTACTATTGGTAGCACTCTAGCAGAGGAGGTGAAATTCGCAATATCAGGCCGATTTTTCCGGAAAGAGACGTCAAGCAATTGAAAATGGTGAGGAAGAGGGGTGGGAGAGGAAGGGCATTCTCATCTAAATAAATCTAAATCTACAGGAAGAGGAAAGAGTGCAATTCTCAAGGTATAATTTTACATCATCTAAGTGTTAATTATGCTTCAATTTAAGGGTTTTTGTTAAACCACCATTGTTGAAGCTTGGGAAGAAGAAGATAATACACTTAAAAATCAAGTAATTATGGTGTTATTAATTAGGGTTATATGCAATCATTAATGAAGTATTTAAAAACACAAAAATCCTCTCCAATTGCTTATTAAAAAATTGTACTGGTATAAAGTTACCTATTTGATCTGAAAATGTACACTATAACGTGAATTTAAGAACTAGAGTTATTTATGTTTTTCATTATAAATTAGTGCAAAAAACACGGTACAACTTAGTCCGATTAATACATCAATTGAGACCAAAAGGTAACTCAGCTCGAGGCCAAGTCCGCGTGCTTCACATTTCCTCTCGCTACCAAATAGCTGACATTTTTACCAAGCCCACATATTCTGTTCGTGCCAGCCGATTGCCTCCCCCCGCTACGACTGCGGAGTGTATTAGACAATGTATACATTATTCCCTAGGCCGCTGCTATTAATGATTATGTAATGTTTCCCTATGCATCATGTATTACTTAACTTAGGCCCTTTGTAATTTGTATATATACCCAGTGAAGTGAATAGTCAAGGATTGCATTCCTATAGGATTATTCTATGGAAGAGTAACTTCTAAGTCGTATTTTATACTTCCTTCACTTTCTTTAATTCTCTAAATCATTTTGTTTGCATTACGCTAGGGAAAGGGAGGAGTAGGAAAAAGAAGGAAGAGAAAGGGAGGTAAGGGCGAGCGGTCCCCTAGCATAAGAGGGATGGACCCTATGACCTCTTAGAGCCCTAGGAAGTCTATTTTTCCTCTAACATCATTAATAGTTTTGTTTCCATGTTCTGCAACTTAAAGACTAAGAAATGCTCAATTAACAAGAAAAGGTGTGTATTTGACTCCTTCTATGTGTATATAAAGAGAAGGAAAATTAGTGACAACTATTCTGGGGAATTTTACACCTATGATTTTAAAGGGAAAGGAATATATCATTCACAGTTAGTTTATTCTAGTGTTTTATTTAGAATTATAATGATTGGAAACGGGTATTGTATTAACGTTTTTATTCTTACCGTCATGTTTGTGGCAGGACCCATTTGGAGAAATCAAATATGAATCAGAGAGATCTGTATTTCACTTTTTAGATGCCCCAGTATTTTATTTTGTTTTGGACTAGATATTTTATTATATTGTTGGTTTAAAAGTCTTTTAATGAACATAATTATAGCAAATATTTATCTTCTTTTTTTTTTTTAATGTAGAGTGATTTTCGTTATGCTTTTTAATTGATGAATAAAGCAAGGGCGGCCGACATAGCTATCCTGGTAAGTACTTTTTTTTTCAACAATATGTATTGATTTTTAAGTACTAAAGTTTGTTCTGTATACAGTTTGTATCTCTCGGCGAGGACGAGAATGAAATCGATGAGGTTGAAAAACAAGAACAAACACAAATGTTTATTTTCTTGATTTCGACCCTCGGCATCAAAAAAAGTTCTAATAGCAATCAACAAAATCGATAGTCCAAATGAGAGTCAACAAAGGTTTGATTTATATTTCTTTTATTTTACTTCTCGTTTATTCATACTAGTTGGACCGCCGCGTTAACCAACTTTAAATGCAAATATGAATCAACTTAAGATTAAAAGAATGACTAATCACCTGAAAAAAAACATTTTAGACAACATTAGGATATAATAATAATATATAAAGACAAATTAGAGTTATAAGTTAAATCACAACATTACACTTTCTCCGTTTTTTAAAATCACAACATTTCTTTCTTTCTTCTTTTTTCAAATACGGAATTAATCCTCAGGTTCCTCTAAAAACAACAACAAATACAATGAAAAAATGGAAAAGACTCTCTTAGTCTTTTTAAGATGTTAAATCATATTTTTCAAAAAAAAAAAAAAAAAGATGTTAAATCACAACATTTACAAAACATAATTTTGCACACACTCTTTTGACCGTCTTTTATAATTTATACATTAAAAATATAACAGTAAAATTGTGTGGGATCTTGTTAGATTTTCCCAAAATATATTTATATAATATCAATTTTTTTTATTATAACACAACTAAAAATATGTAAATCATAAGATGTATATACACACATGCAAGTGACCATGAATATTATGATTATTTATTTAACTTTTTTTATAAGCTCAATTTTACAGATTAGAGTGTGTCGGCCCTTCTACCACACCTCTTTTTAAGAATAATTAGTTAGAACCGAAAGATAGTTTAAAATAAACGTTATTAAAACTAAGAATAATAATAAAAAAACTTTTAGTAAATGAAATTAACCCTTAAAAATTGAAATGAACTCCATATAAACAAAAATAAACTCAACTAATGAAGATAAACCTAAACGAAATGAAAAATAAATAAAATAAACAATTAAAACCCAAAATAACGAAGATAAAAAAAATAAATAAATAAACAAAACCCACCACAATAAAAGCAATTTTTTTGTGTGTGTTTAGAGAGCCACATAAGGGCGGGGTGAGAAATGATTCCAAGATCACTTGAGACCAAGAAGGAAGCTCTAACCACTTGAGCTATCTCTCACTCTCTAAAAATAAAAAATTAAAAAAGGGCCGGGGAAAATTTGAGTACTTCTTTGTTCCTATTTTTTTGCTCCTTTGCAAAAATACGGGCCAAATTAAACATTAAATTCTTTGATGATAAAATACTCTAAATCTATAAGAGACAATATATTTTGGATTTGTCTCATTGTATATTTTATCAATATCTATCTATTGTAGTTTTTATAAATTTTTACACGCCAAATGGAGAAAGACCGTGAAGCCCCAAAAAGTTAAAGGAAAAATTGTTAAAAATAATATAACCTTTGGCACATTCTTTTTTAATAACACAACTTTTTGATTATTTTGTAATAATACAACCTTAAGGGAAAGTTCATATTAAACAAGACAAAATCGAATTTTCGGTTGGAAAAAATGGAGCAAAATATTAGATTATTAGTGAACGAGAATGTATAACATGCACTAATTTCTACTCCGTACCATATCTTTTAATATTTCATACTCTTTCCGTGTTTTAATAAGTATTACATTTTGGCCAGCACAAAATTTTAGACACTTTTATTAACTCAAATAAAATAAGAGGTAAGTGGGATAGTTAGAGTATTAAAAAAATTGTACAAGAAAGATAGTAGGTTTAATAGTTTATTGAAAAGTAACGAATGTGAGGGGAAAAAAAAGAATAAAAAAAAATATATATTGAGTTTGAGGGAGAACCATGATAAGAGAGATATATATATTATTAAAGTGTAAATTTTTTGCTAAAATAATGTAATACTTATTGAAACACGTCCGCATTTGATAAGTGTAAACTTATTAAAATACGAAAAGTGTAATGAGTAATATGTAATTTATACTTATTAATAATTAAATATATTATTGGTCAACATTTTACATCGATATGTGTACCAAGTTATCAAAAAATTACGATCGAAATACGTAAATAGAAAGATTTTGTAAAACGGATGAAGTAATATATAGTGTATATAAAGGTGTCCTATAGTCTATACGGTTATACCTATAATGTCTATATACTCCCTCTGTTTTTAATTACTTGCTCCATTTCTCTTGGGCACGTATGCCGATGCTAATTTTTGATCAATTATATGTTTAATAATCAATAAGTATAAATTCTAACAATTAAAAATTAATAATCTATTCATTGAGACAATTCCAACAAGTACCCACAAGACTATATTTTTTCTTATGTATAAATCACAAACATTAGTCAAAGTAGGACAAATAAATAGTGTAAAAAATAGAAATGGAACAAGTATTTAAAAATGAAGGGAGTATATAATAACTATCCATGTAATATAAAGGAGAATACTTCCAAAAAAAAAATGTAGTTTATCACTTCATATTAGTAGGACATGTTTGGTAGATAAACTCTAACCTACAAAAAGTCACCAACGTAAGCCCAAAAAAAAAAAAAAAAAAAAAAAAAAAAAAAGTAAGAAGCAGCAAACTCCGTAGGACATAAATGGAATTGTGCAATATCTTTGTACTGTACAACTACCCTTTAATAGCAAACCATCAATTCTCGTATTAATCCCAACTATGAGTTATTATTGTATAATCTAAACTTTAATGTGAGTCTTCTTTTATTACTCCATTTACTTGTTTAACCTATTATAACATGTTATTTATATTTTTTTTAATATAATTGCTAGTTAATTTTATTTTTATTTTTATGTTTTTTGAAAAAATTTGTTAGTTACTCTTACTGATTTTGCTCTTGCTGTATATTAATACTTTCATTTTCTATTTGTTGTGATGTACTACTTTTAAACAACTATTTGTGTTTTTTTTTTTTTACGCAACTTAATTTTGTTTATGAAAAAACATATTGGTTGTATTATGTAGCATATGATGAAATTAAGTTGATTAAGGAAAAATAAAAAAAAAAGTACCAAGTATCTTGTTTACTCTATGTCATCTTTTGAGAACAAAGTATCACATATTGTTTCAATCACATTTTTATTTCTTCTAGGGGTGCATGGTTTTCCCTTACTAACTCTGTTTCTCGGAGATAATGATTCTACAAGCTCATCTTTCTCATATACTACATAGCACTCCACACATTTATCCCTCACAGCTATCTTACTCATCTCCCTGACTTCATCATCACTGTAAACCCTCCTTAATCCTTTTTCTAAGCCATCAACCCTCCTTAATCCTTTTTCTAAGCCATCAATCCTGGAAATTAGGTAGTAGATTGTCTCAAATTTTTGATTCCCCACCACAACTTTTAGCAAACTCCAAACATAATTGATAAGAGTCAAGTTCAAAGGTCCTGCATTCACCCCTAAAATATTGCAATACCCCATTATCCTTCTTGAATGAACCACCACAGTACACCACATTTTCAAAGTCACCACAATGTCCATGTTCTACTCAATAATTGTCAAACCAAATTAAACAAAAAATAAAACTCAATTATATGGAAATTTAGGTAATAAACGAATCAAAGTAACTCGTAATCAACCAATACAAACCCCTGCAAATTAAAAATAAGATAAAATCAACCTTAAGCAACTTACAACTCAATTTCAACAAATAACTTAAAAAAAAAAAAAGGAAAAATTGAAAGTGCAAACTAACCTTTAAAAAGCATAATTGTAGACCATGAAATTGAAAATTTGTTCTTCGTTGTGCGTGAAGAATGAACAAAAAATTGTGAAATGGAAGAACTTGATTTTTTGGGGGGTTTTTTACATTGTACGGTGGGGTAGTGGGGCAAGTATAGGTTATTAATTGTTTTTGTTTTTACTTTTCTTTTCTTTTTTTTTTTTTATTGTTTTTTGTTTTTTTTTTTTTTTTAATGTAGAAGTAAATCATTTTTGGAGGGAGTTGAGCACTACATCTTCTATTTACTTGCATAATCGGTAATCAGTCTTAATGGAGTAATAAAAGAAGACTCAAATTAAAGTTTAGATTATACAATAATAACTCATAGTTTGGATTAATATGAGAAGACCTCTCATAGTTTGGATTATTTATGTGAATTTTTCCAAAAAAAATCACATGAATAATTTAAATTATGGTCATTCTTCTAAATTCCAATATTAAGCTCTTACTCAAGGTTACTCTATAATAATCCAAACTATACAAGACATCTTCTTCTATTGAACTATGACCGGATAAAACTGGTTAAACAAGTCATTTAGCCACATGTCTCATAATTATTGGCTTTCCATAAATAAAAATTTTAAGGATTAATTTGAAAATCAGAATACCCCCCTCTTGCTATCCTACATACTCACTGCAATTTCTCCACCATTGCCGGGAACCCTAAACTCCTCCCAAACTTCACTCTGTCACAAATCACCACCACAAAGCTACCACTTTTTGTAACGGCTAGTAAAAGTACCATGGGTGGTGCAGTGTTGTTGTTCACTTGTTCATGACAGTGCATCGATTCTTCTTGTGTGTGAAAATGGAGAACAAGGATGATTTGGTAGTTTGTGGTTGATATTGGAATAAAGTAGCACGTATGATATTGTTGTTTTTAATATTGGCCCAAATATTGACAATGAGGCAAAAAAAAGGGATAAGGGGAGTACCTAATAAGTAACAACCTATGGTGTTACAAGACTTACAACCTATGGTATGATAAACCCATTCAACATTAATAGAGGATAAAAAGAAACAAGAATAGAGGCAAAAAGAATTAACTAAGCTTTGGTGTACTCTGAAGTCTTTAAATAAAAACACATTAATTAATTAATAGTATATCAAACAGAGATCTGAAGTCCTTAAATAAATACACTATAATAAATTAATAGTATATCAAACAGGGATAACTAAGCCGCTTACAGAAACAACCAGGGGTTGCATTACTATGGCAATGCATATTATAGCTCAGAGGCAAAGGTAAAGAACAGCCAAGACGACAGCCCTCGGATATATATAGATATTTCAGCAACCCAAGCCCTGCATACAATAACATTTACTTTATTATAAAAAGGATGGGTTGTATTTTTACATATCCAACCAAAAGAAGTTGATCACAGGTAACACTATTACTACCACAATCATCATTAAATTTAGAGATGTGCATTCATGTTTTTAAGGGTTTGGATTATGTCGGGTTTGGTTTTGAGTCCACAGCCTGTGAAGCTAAATTTTAAGTGAAGTGGGTTGGAACTATTTTGCATGCGTCTAATGGAGCTACACCTAACAGTAGTTTATACTTGTTGAAACCATATTAAAACAAGACTCTACAAAGAATGGTAACACTTAATTGATCAACCTTTAGAGCTAAAACAAAATGTGGTATAAGTAAGAATTACCTAAAGCACTAAGAAACGGATAGGCTCCATGTGCGTTTTCAAGGAAAAGCAGTTGACAGCAACAGGAGTGACAAGCACCTCAGTAGGAGTAGTGCCCTTAACTCTGAAAGCCTTACCTTTGGAAGCCTTACCTTCCACAGAAAAGGGGTAGGCACTAGGCAGTGGCCAAGCAAAACATATCCTTGCCCAAATGAAGCATGTCTGTGAACTCAAAGACACAAATATTGACAGGAAAATAAGCAGAATACACAACTTTCAACCATGACTTGGTCAATATATCATAGGCAGTAATGCAGTCACGCGACAGCATAGTCCCATTCCCGGTATGGGAATACAGGACACCATCAGCTAAAGCTCTAGCAGGCCACCAGGTAAAGAAATTATGAGCAAGGCAATCCCATGTTTCAGTGGCAGGGTAATAAGCATAAAGAGCACGAGCATTATCGAAATGCACGAGAAGACGTTGATTGTTTTCATCAGGAATCACAGGAGAAGAGACGCAGAAACGCTCCACAGGAAGATCAGTAGGTGGTTGGGGCAAGGGCTTCCACTCCCCAGCATCAGGAGTAAACTCCTCGCCGATACACAACTCTGTCTCTGAACCTCCCAAAGCATATATTTTACCCCAAGAGAAGCGCAAGACAGAGCCATCCGGCGGTGCTTCATGACAGGGGCACTCATCCATCTAATGGACTCGGACTTTGATCCAGAAGGATCACACTCATCCTCATCGTCGCACTGATTAAGCAGTGAAAGTGCATGTGATTTGGTCAAGAATAAAGCAGATGCACCCAGGTGGATGTGGTGGTCTGAGCCACGGAAAAAATCATAATCTGCTTTGGTATCACCACCAAAATTATAGATCAAAGGTCCCAAACGGACTGCACTACCTAATCCAATTTCGTTCAACAGTGTGGCAATAGGAGTTTTTCGAATTTTCTCTGCTTTCAAGTCCATCACATAAAATTCAGACTGCCATCCTCCATGCATAAATTCTGCTAAGATAACTTCTTTCCCCTCAGAACATGAATGCATCCTATTTTCTTCCATTTCCTTTCAAAATAAATCAAGCGCACCTGCTTTCGGTTTACCATCAGTTCAAACAACTATGCAACAATGGCGGATATTAATAATAGAAATTAAAAACCAACAATTCATCCATCTACCTCTACCGGAGAGGGGAATGCAATGTATTGTATCCAAATTTTGATCTTTACCTTAAAGGGTTATGCAATGTATTGAATCCAAATTTCAAATAAAACTCATAATTTTCTTCTCAATTAGTAATTATAAAATCCTAGAATTAATAATTATAAAGATAAACCATAATTCTATTACCAAATTAAGAAGAACCCTAAATTGTGTACTAAGAATTAAATTGACGATTGTGTAATTGAAATTCGATGATTACAAAAAGAAAAACATCTTACCTCAGAAGCTACTTCAATGGAAGATATAAATATCAGAAGCCACCTCAGTGAAGAATGTGGAGTGCGCTTCAATGGGTATTGTATTTGAAGGTCTGATTTGATTTAATCTTACTACTCGTATATTTTCTCACTTTTAATGGGTACAATTTTTTCATTATTTTCATTGAAATACACAATTAGTCAATTACATACACTTATCAATAGGTACATGACTACATATGTCCCGTACTCACTAATTTCTAAATTTTTTAACCAAACAAATTTAAAATATTATCACAAATCTCCCAAGCACTCTAACAACTATAGGCATGTTCACTTCAGCTTAATTTCAGTTTAGCTTATAATTTCCTTCTCTCATAAACTATTCATTTCAGTTCAGTTCAATTCATGAACATACCCTAATTGGACATACGTGTCATTGTCATACATTCTTATAATACTTTCATACATTCATATAATATTGTCATAATTCTCTTAATTAGGTGGGTAGGAAATCAACCGCCAAACCTCTATCCATCCCAAAGGGGGACATGTAACTCTCTTATTTAATTTGACCTGCCCACTAATAACCCTAATTAATATGCCTTCAACTAATACAAGATTATTAAGCAAACGTAAACTCTTCTAATCGCTCCTTTCTAGTTCATTCCATATCAAATCTAACAAGTTTTAATTACTCAATCAATTTTAATACTTTTCCAATTAGTTACAATCAATTTTAATATTTCACAAGTCCTAATAAAATTAAAGAAAATTACTTGCTATTTCGAAATGAACCGAGAATTTAACGTAAAGTCTTCCATATTCTTCTACTCGTATTATGTTGGACCAGATTAGTGAACCTAGCCATTAGCCGCCTAGCCGGATGCTTAATTGGCTAATTGCTAATGATGCTTATTTGGCTAATTGCTAATTATCTTATATGGCACATTAAGCTAACAAGTACGGAGTATTAGCCAACCTTAAAATTTGCTACTAGTCTCTGGCTTTCTCCCTGCACGGCTGCACTGTCCCAAATTAGGTTTTTTTCTATTTCCGTTTTTACTGTTGTAAGCACAAATTATTCTTGGGTTTGTTTCTTCAACTCATTTCATTGGTAGATAATCTGTAAATTCACTTAGTAAAGATTGCATTTTTAATTTTTTTTTGGTTGCAGGTTAGAAGATAAATGGCATTTGCAGTTAAAGTTCCTGTGAATTTGAGCATTTCTTCACAATGCAAATTTGTGGGATTTCCTGGGAATAAATTTAGAAATTATGGGTATGAAAATGGGCGTAGTTTGTTTGTTTCAGCAGCAATGTCAAGTAGCCCTGCTCCAAATGTTGAAAATCTTTCTATCAAGTCCAAAGATATTGGATTGCCCCTTATGGTATAAACCCTCTACTTTTTTCTTAATTAATTGATGTTTAATTTGTAATTCTTGTACTTGCTATCATGTTCAATTGGTATATTTAATTTGTAATTCTTGTAATCGCTTTCATGTTAAATTGCTAAAGTGGGTTCGTTTTGTAATTTGATATAATTTCCTGAGAAACTGTTGAAATTACTGATTTTCGAGCCCCGGAAATGTATACTTGGCCTATGTTTTGAGGATGGAAGGAGTGTATGAGTTTTACTTAGCTGTATAAACCATCAATTGTTATGGATAGGTGCTTATTTCAATTTATCAAGACTTGAATTATAACACATTTATCTCATTTGTAGAATGGTAGTACACGAACGACAGTAATTTCCCTAAAATCGAAAATTCTACTGGGGAGCGAATGGGATTAGATACCCCAGTAGTTCTAGCCGTAAACGATGGATACTAGGCGCTGTGCGTATCGACCCGTGCAGTGTTGTAGCTAACGCGTTAAGTATCCTAATTTACAATGGATATAAAACCTGATGTTTGCTGTTTAGATTCCTAGTGATACCCTGCCGTCAAAACAATTAGATGAATGAAAAGTTGTCGCAACTCAATGTTGAAATGTTATCGTGATTGTCACTTGTATGTGTCTGTTACTTCCTCGTGATTGTAACTTACATTTGTGCTCTGATAAAATATGAGAGGATGGTGAATGAGTGTGGATGCTGAGATTGGAACTGGCTATATTCAGGGAGTTCTCAGTGCTTTTCAAATGACATAAGGAAGGGGAGAGAGGGATACCTTTTTGTATCAGTGTGTTTAGGTGTTAATATTTAGATACGAGTCCATAAGACTGCAATGGGGGGATGTATAGAGTTCAAGAGACATGGGGGCAGAATCTTCAACTTTACGGCTTTACCACACAATTAATTTTTTTCTTTTTCTTTTAACATGGGTAGTGGGACTGGCTATAGAGAATGGCTTTTTGAAATTATAACATGTGGATTATGGCATGCTCTAATTCCTAGATTTCCAAAGCTTAGCATCAATTTAATGTCTTGATGAATTATAAAACATCAATGTTAACGTCTAGAAAAATATAATAATAATGCTTAGATGCAGAAGTACCTATAACAATGTGGTCAGCTATTGATTATATTCTTGGAGCTACTTAAAGAAATCTAAGATAGCTATCTTTAATTGTTTTTCATTCGACGGAAGTTGATAGAATTATATAGTCATTGCTCTGCTATTATTTTGTTGTTTTTAGAGATGGCATTTCATTTTTATGTGAATATCATGGCTGTAACAAAATCATGTGTTAGGCAGATATATTTTCTTAGAATCTTTGTTCTATGTGATTTTTTGATTGTAGGTCAATAGTTGCATGGGGAAAATGGGAAAGGCAGTTATTGAAGCAGCAGCTAATGCTGGACTTCATATTGTTCCTGTATCATTTGGTGCTCAGGAAGAAAGTGGGCAGCTTGTCCAAGTGGGGGGTAAAGAAATTCAGGTCTACAGTCCTTCAGAAAGAGAAGATATCCTTGCTTCTGTCTATGATGAATATCCTGAGCTGATTGTGGTAGACTATACTGTGCCAAGTGCAGTAAATGGTAGGCAGAACATGTGAAAATTGGTAACTTATAATTCGGTTTCTTTTCTCTTAAAAGCGCTGAATGGGGTGAACTCTTTGATAATTGACACCATCTGAACTTTATCATGTTACTAGAAGATTAAAAAAGCCCCCATTGTAAATAATTGGCCGTAAAATAACAGGTTTACACCTTCAATGTGGATGCTTCCTTGTTGAAGAGCAATCATCAATCATTATCTTATGTGCAATACCTCATCTCTTTAGTTATGTGCAATCAAAATAAAGAATTTTCTTTTTCTTTTTCTTTTTCTTTTTCTTTGCTATCTTGCATTTGACTATTTTGTTTAATAATCAATGTGTGATCATTAGGTTTTCAATATTTATCATGTCTTGGCTTAATCATATCATTCTATCTATATTGAGTTCTTCCTTTCTGCTGAATACTCTCTGTGTGTGTGTGTGTGCGCGTGCGTGGATTTGACCAGTGAAACTTTAAACCAAGCTCTCTACCCTTTTGTTTCTATAGATATGCAACAATTTTGTTGGCCAGCGGTCAAGCTAGATGCAGAAAGACAGAACCCTATTGCAAACATTTTAAAATGTGCCATAAATGTTATGGCCTGATTGTTGAATAATTTCGAGCTAGACTCAAAGTTGCTAATGTTTTTTTTAATATGTAGAAGGCTCTATGATAATAATATTGTTGGAGAAGTATCCAATCAGCTTTGATTCTTGGAAATACCTTCTAGTTTGAATGATATTTTTGTATAACTTGGTATGCAGACAATGCAGAGTTGTATTGCAAAATTGGGGTGCCATTTGTGATTGGAACCACTGGTGGAGATAGGGAGAGACTCCATAAGACTGTGTTGGACTCAAAAAATTATGCTGTCATATCACCGCAGATGGGAAAGCAGGTGTTCATTTATAGTCCTGTAGCCTAAGCCAGTTTCAGAATATCTATTGTTGTTCTCTTCACTGGATATCTAAACCCTTGGCTTTTAAGGTTGTGGCATTTCTTGCAGCCATGGAAATTATGGCGGAACAATTCCCTGGAGCCTTTTCTGGATATTCTCTTCAGGTATTTCCTCTCATGCTCTCTCTGACGCATACAAAAACTTTTTTTATTAGCTGGTTTCAGCATTCATGACAAGTTCCATTTACTGTTTGTCTGGAGCAAGTTTCCATTTCAATATCATGTGCTTGCATTTGTGATATTTTTGAGTACTTAAAGTCTTAAAGATGAATGTAGTTTTTTGTTGATACTGACCAATCTTAAAGCAGTCTGATTCAAGCAGTGTCATAGACTCATATCCGTTATCTGATACTTCCTCCGTTCTTTTATTATTGCACCACTTGCCTTTTTAGGAAGTTTTACAAATATTGCACCATTTCCTCTTTAGGAAAAAAATAATTTGTGTTCACACTACAAATACCTAACATACCCTTGCTTTTTCACACTTACTTTTTAATTTATCAATATATCACATGGGTAATTTTGTATTTTTACCTTTCTCTCTCTTACTTTTTTCCCCTACTAAAATATTTGTACCCAACCCCTACGGTGCAATAATAAAAAAAACGGAGGAAGTATATGGTTGAGTATTGTCTGCCAGTTGTGAGTTTGATTTTGCTGTTGCCTAGTCATATATATAGGTTAGATGGCATGGTTTGACTGCTGAATTATTGGATATGACTGATAACTTGTGTTTTGAAGGTCATGGAGTCTCATCAAGCCAACAAAAAGGATGCATCTGGGACTGCTAAGGCTGTTATCTCATGCTTTCAGAAGCTTGGAGTGGACTTTGATATGGATCAGGTAGGTGTCTCTTGTACACGGGTTAATTACTTTGGTGAACCCTTTTTAATTTTGACCAATTTACTTTACAATAGTCCTTTGGATGACTATTTGATCCCCGCAGCAAGTTAGGGAAATCCAAATCATCTTTCTGATAACATCATATTACTTTCACATGGATAATTAACATTACTATCCTTGAATTTGACTTTTTACACCTCTTCTTGTAGGTTTATTGGATTTGTTATGACATGCGTATATATTCACTTATTTAATCTCATTCAACCTTGACCTTCTTTCTGATCTCTGTTTTAGTTTGTTATGAATGTATGGAGTGTTACGCTTTATCTTATTTTAATTTTTTTTATTGTGTGTGTGTGTGGTAGGGGGGGGGGGGTTTGGGCAT